ATTTTGAGCATTTTGATCAGGATTTTGACCTAACTTCTGAGCCAAGTTTCACATAGTTCCATTTGGATTTTGAAAAAGTGATTCAAAGAGGGGTTGTAGAGCACATTACAAGATTTATAAAAAGTCCAATAATTCCTTGAGATCATTTGTGAGCAAGGAAAATCGAAGGTCAAAAGTTAGGGTTTCAAGTTGATTTACAAGGCAAAATTTGTGATGCACAATGAACCAAATCAATAGCCATGCTGCATAATCTTCACTTTGCAGGCCTCAAACTTGTTTATCACTCCTTAATTTAATGTTTACACAACTTATTGATCAATTGTCCAATTGATTCAAGCATTGCCCAAAGCATTTTTCCATTTTAGGGAGAAAGTCACCATTTCCATTCTTGTAAAGCAAGCTTTATGCACAAAGTCAGCTTCTTGAGCTCCTAACTTGTTCTCTTTAAGTACACTCCATCCATAAAGTCACAAGCAAGCTTGTTTAAAGTCCAACCACCCTACAATAGCAAGTACAAAAAGACATGGAAACTTGTTTTGTCAAAAAATCACATGTTGAGCTTAAACATGTAAATTCAAATTCTGACTTGTGGTAGCATACAAAACCTTTTGCTTATAAATAGAGACACTATTTGCAAGCTAAGGCACGAGCTTAAGCATCTTGAAATACACCAAAACTCCCTCAAGCCAGAATTTGTACAAGAAAATCCATTGATGCATAATTCTGACCTTAAACTTATATCTCTCATTTCCCTCGTGTGTTTTCCTTCTTAATCAATCACAAAGCTTATAAACATCAAATATAACTCATCCTTGACCATGTTTCATAACTGTAACTCCATCTTCATCAACCTCCATAACCAAAAACAGATCTCTGCAAGTTGACTTCTCCAAAACTCCTCAGCCACTTTCAGCTCAAGCCAAGCATCACATTAGCTTCCTGAGAACTTGAGGAAGCTAACCCAATCACTAGAACTCATCAAAAGCTGCTCAAACTCAAAACACGATACCCTCTTGCAAGGTGATTTTTCTGACTTTTGAACTCTTCATATAGGCATCATTAATGTTTAATTTGTGAATGAAAAACGTAGATATCATTGTCCTGAAGCTAACCATGTCCATAGTTTTCATTTATGTTGCTTGAGCTTAGAGAATTTTAAGATTGAAGTTTCTGGAAAAGTTAGGGTTCAGATTAGGGCCAAAAATTCATGTTTGTCTTTGATCTATAGTTTTAATGCTTTACATTTCTGAAATCGTGAGGAAATTTGCCACAAGATTCATGTTTACACTTTTGCAAAAGGATGAGAAATGAACAAGATGCAGGTGGTCTGGCTAGGCGCGAGGTTGAAGATGAAGTTGTCTTCGAAAAGCAGCTTCTAATATATATATTTATGCTTTTATTATATGAACGGATGAAACAGACCACCCTAGTGGTACAAGAAGCGCGCACGTATTAGAAGGTCCTGGGTTCGAGCCCCAGCGAGACCTTTTGCAATTTTCATAATTTTTTCATTTTTCTTTTTTTGTTGAATCAGGCGCCTGGGCCAGCAGAACATTGGGCCTTTGTTTCTTTTTGCTAACTTTCTAACCCCTTTGATCATTTCCAACCCCCCCCCCCCCCCCCCCCCGACTTTTATATTTTATTTTTCTTTATTATTTTTCTTTATTATTATTATTTTTATTAATAAAAAAATCCAAAAATATTTTATTTATTATTTTTACGCTTATTTAATTTATTTTGTTTTTTTATAAAATTAAAAGAACAAAAACATTTCTTAATAATTAATTTCTTTCTTAATAATTAATATTTTAGATTTAATTATTATATTATATTATTTTCTTGTAAATTAAAATCAATTTAGAACTTATGATTTTTATTTAATTAATTTTATTTACTAATTTAATTAAATTCACAAAAAACCTAAAAAACTTGTTTTCTTTAATAAATTAATTTCTTTTATTAATTTAATTTTAATTTTCTTATTCTATTCAATTATTTTATTTTAATTTAATTAGGTCAAAAATTTTAATACAAAAAAAATCTATTCCTTACCTATTTATACTTGTACATTATATTCATTTCATTTCTTGTACATTTATTCAAATTCAATATGGTTGTAATAGATAATTAGGGTTTTAATTTCTTGTAATTCTCCATTTGTAATTTGTATATCTCCTCCCCTAATGATGTAATAGCTTAGTATTTTTATTTTCCGCAATTTAATCCTTTATATACAAATGCTAGTAATTAGGGTTTGTATGGAAAGATTAAAATCAACAAATAGCAAACCCTAATCAAGACAAATCAAGCATGAAAACCAATACACTTGTACACATACACCCTTAGGATAAATCCACTTTGTTGCCTTATAAAATGGCCATATTATGCATGTGAGGTATCTTAGCAAAAACAAGCAAAAATACAAGATCATAGTCTCTCGATGACGCTATCCATGTTGCCTTTCAAAATGATCTTAGTCCCTAAAGAAAATACAAAAAATATGCATTTCTGGTTTCGAAATGAATATTTCTTGGGGGAAATTTGTTGGCTGAAAATTTTGACTAAGGAGAAATTGAGCCGAACCAATGGTCTGAATATACTTAGAGAATTGTTTGGCTATTTAGTTTGTTAAAAGCCATGAAGATTCGAATTTGAAATTCGTTAATAGATTGATGTATAGTTTATAATTCGAATTGAAAAATAAAGTTATTATTCGAAACATGGTTTAAGACTTTATACTTCGACCGTTATCAGATTTTATTGGTTTTGGCGCTCAAGACGGATAGCGAAGGGTTTGAATTCAAATATTTATTCTTATCCAAAAGGACGTGTGAAATCTCTTGGATTGTCGAAGACATGCCAGCGGAAACGTGGCATTAGTTTGTTAGGAGACCGTTAGGGTCTAAGTTCTATAAATTGTAGCTTTTGTGTTTCGATTTAGCGTGTTCACATCTTTGTACAAAATACTAAAAATACTTAAAGTACCAGTGTTCGAAAAAAGAGTTAACAAGAATGTACGTATGATGCACCATATTTTATATTCAATGTCATTTGCATTCAATGAAGTTTCTTTACGTTATTTACGTTCTTTACAATTCTCAATCTAGACTAGTTTATATTTCATTACTTTTATAAAGAAGTTTCACTTCGACGTGCAAAGTGATTCCTTTTGTTTAAAGAGATTATCTTCAAAATATGCTTTCTAAATAATTGAACACAATCGTCCTGAGATCAATTTGGTCGATCTCGTGAGTAACTAAATTTGTTAAAGGATTTAGAGGATCAGTGATTGTTTACCAAATTCCAGGATAAACACTCTTCTAAAAGTGAAAATCAGACCTACACTATAAAATTAATATACACAATCATGAGTCTCCATTAAACTTTATTTTTCTTTACTCAAAACATTAGCTTATTATAAATTTTTCCAATGATTTCATAACTTAATTTAAAAAAAATTTGTTTCTGATAAGCATTTTTGGATAATCTCCCTGAAGTGAATAAGGTGAGACCACACACACAGTGAGAATTAGGTGTTATTTGAGGATAAAAGGAGTGACAATCATTGTTAGGCCGCTCAAGGTTTTACCCTCTTTTTTTGTTATTCATCCGCCCTCCTCCCCCTTGGATAATAAAAGACCTTTTCTTTTATAGAGTAGATCTATTTTAATGGCCATAAGGAATGTAACCAACCCTTTTAACTATTTGTAAGTGGCGTGTTAAAGGTTTGTAACGATTTTAGCCATTGTATTGTAACTTCTATGTGACATTTGGGCTACCTCCTAACTGTTGCAGCGGGTTACTAACCAAATCAACTGGCATCTATCAAGGGCTAACCTATGTGTTTTGACCGAGCTCCTATACGACCATATCAATAAAAATAGATATCTCAATTGTGTCAGAATTTCCGAGATATACAAAATGTTATAAATAATTTTTTATTTTTTTAAAATATTGAATAATTAATATGTTTAATTTATTATATATGGACTAAATATATCAATCATTTAATTAGTTTAAAACACAAATTTTTATTTATAATAATAATCATAGGATGTAATTTTTATCTTTTTTCTTTTAGATTTAATTGTTCTAAAAGTTTAAATGACAGAAGTTTTTTCACTTGTGAGATTGAGTAGTTAAAATTTGCAACAATCAACATTCTTTTATATTGTTTGTATTTGACATTTTTAAGTTTTTTTTTACATAGTTCATAGTTCATGCATAATAATATTAAATATTCTATAACAATGAACATAGTTTATAAACATAGTTTTGAAAAAAATTAATTTTGTTATTTAAAAAAGAATAATGACACAATTTATGTTCTACTTGTTTTTATTTTTATACAATCTTTATCAAGTTAAATAAAATTTTATAAAATTAATCAAAAAATTTAATTATAAAAAGTATGAGAGAGGGATCGAGTTTTTTTATATAAAACAGTAAAATTTGGAAATTTCTTTAAAAAAAGTAATAAAAAATATGTTTATTAAATAAAACTCAAAAATAAATAAATAAGAAAGAGAAGTTTGAGACTTTGAGGTAGAATAAGATAAGAAAGAGAGAAAATAATAGAGAAAGAGAGGTTTAGTGTTTAAAAAAAATGCGTGTGTGGGAAATAAATAACTGAAAACTAAATTTTTGACTTTTGACTATTATGAATATTTTTCATAAGTTTTTGGAGTTATTAATAAATTTTATAGATTTCGGATTTATTATTTAATACAAAAACAAAAAAAACAAAGCTAACAATTTAGAAGATAAAATATTGAATTGAAAGAAAAAATATGAATGACTTCGTTATTTGAAATAAAATATAGGAATAGAACAATTTTGCCATATTTTTAATAATTCAAACGTGGAAAGTAGACTTTTTCAACCCTTTGTAGTTATTATTTCTCCATCACCTTCTAATCTCTCTACAAATATAGTCCTAAAGTCTTCCCTTCAAATTTGCACAATAGCCTCTCCTCCTATTTTCAACATTCAGAACCAAAATGCTAGGTAAAAAGATGGTATCATTGAAGAAACTAGCCAAGAAGGTAAAGCCTAGTAGTAGTGGAGGTGAAACTAACAATGATCCTCCACACCATGAGTGCTTGTTGAAGGGGTATGAAGAAGAGTTTTGTACAAGCACAACTCCAACTGGTTATTTTGCAATTTATGTTGGTGATGAGCATCAAAGATTTGTGGTTCCTACAAGCTATCTTTCTCACCCTTTGTTCAAGATGCTGCTTGAGAAATCTTACAATGAGTTTGGTTTTCAGCAAAGGAATGGCTTGGTTGTTCCTTGTAGTGTGGATGCATTTCAAGAGGTTGTGAATGCTATTGAATGTAACAATGGCAAGTTTCACTTAGGGAAGATTTTTCATGATTTTGTTTGATATTTGTATTTATTAGTTCGTATTAAAATGCATTAGAGCTATTTCGTTTTTTATGATAAAAAAATATTCAATTTGACTTAGGAATAATAGGTATTATGACCTTCTATCGTCTATGTACGATGTAATGTTACATCGTACACTAGACGGTGGAGGATGAATCCAAATTCGATTATCGAAGTTAGGTTTAATTTTTATATAAGCCATTTTCATACAAGCAATTTGTCACTTAGAATAATTTAACAGGTAAACAATTGATGCTGAACTTTTCTATATTAGTCTGTCCTAAAGTTATGCATGTTTTTTTTAATTTAATTTAATATTTTCTTGACTTTTTAGCAAACATGCCCTCAACTATTACAAATGGCATCAAGTGCTTTAAACGTGATCTCAGCAATCAGTGGCAACAATTGTGAACTTTCAATTAGTCAATAGTGTCTGACTTGAATTTTGTAGGGCATAGATTTGACAATTTTCTACTTATGATAAACTCACATGTGTATTTGGTGCTCTTTTCTCAGACTTTCCTGGTCCAGAGGTACTAGTAAATACGGTTGGTTGAGTAATTTCAAAAGACTACATAGAAAATGGAAGAGTTGGGAAACTTTTAATACAAATATGTACAAGCATAGAGAACTCAAATTGCATTGTTTGTGTGCTAATGTAGAATGTGTTTGCACCCTTAGAGGAATATTGACTATGGCAAACTGTGATCACGTTAAATGAAAAATGGAAGAGTGTTGGCAACAGAGATTGTAAATGGAAAACTATCACTTTCTCTGCAAATAGCTTATCTAAAGAATATAATAACTTGGTGAGCAATGTCAGGTTCCAGGATGCTTAGTGCATATCAACACAAAACATGTCATCTCACATTTGTGTTAAAGAAGACAAAATCAGAGTATATGTGTTCAAAAACAAAGTGGAAGTCATAACAAAAATTATGAAATTATAAAAGTTGTTGATGTACGCAAATGTGTGTGAGCATTACATAAACTTGATTTAGTCATAATTGTTGAAGTTTCCGACTGAAATAAACCAATCAACCTCTCATTTCTTGAGACCAACTCAGAGCAGAGAAATAATCTGCATTAAAGTAGAAGGTGTTACCACAACAAACTGAAAATGAAGAGACGATAAAGTTTATGAATTGGTCAATAAAATTTTCACCAAATGCTCATAATTAAATTATTGTTTTCCCCTGTTACAACCATCCACAAGTATTCTCTTCATATGATCAACTAATCCTTGAATCTGCTCTCTTGAATGAAGGGGTGAAGGATATATACAAGCACAATCCAACTTTCCATTCCTTATAGCATCAAATATGGCTAAGGACGGGCCAACGCCGTGTGCGGAAGCACAACCCAAATAGTCTACCAATCCAAGCTCTTCGTGCATTTCATTCGAATCGTCAATGACAAGGTCATCAAATACAGAGACCAGTGCAGTTCTAAGGGATGACGATGGTGTCATACCAGGGTTATCAATGGCCTTGCACATGAGGAAGTTGAGGTCAGACATATCTGTGAAATGCTTATTGTTGTTCACAGCATTTTCAAAGGATGTGTAACTTCTCTTTGCCAACTCCCATAAGGTTTCTCCACACACATCATGGGTATTTAAAATGGCAGAATGGTAAAATCCTGAGCCAAAAAACAGATAAAGCAATATTATTAAACTTTTTCCAAATGATTTAAAAAGCATCACATTCCATCTGCATGATTTGATCACGAATAATTGGAAAATTATAATATTTGGAAGTACCCAAGTTTATTAATTTCCCACTAGTTTGTTTGAAACTTCAGAACCAAATTTCATTGCTAAAATGATCAGAAGAAGTTTTTGTCAATCAGTTGTGCGTAATATCAAGTAGCAGTCTAATTCGTAGGCACTGTTAGTGTAAAAAAAATTTACAAATCCCTTCAATTACATTTCATCAATTATCCATAAAACAAACACAAAAAGGAACAAGGAATATCAGAAACTACGGCGTACCACAATGGCTGCTGGAAAGTACTGGATCAAGAAGTGGGCGACAGTCAATGAGTGTTACTACAGCATATTTTTCTGATTCGTAATCAGAAAGGCGCTTGGATTTCCATGCAGCAATCATTCCAGCTGCAGCAAGTGCCGTGCAAAGTTTAATTCCTCTTGATTTGCATCCCTACATAATCTTGCATGATTAACTTAATTCATTTAACTGCCAGGTCATAGGCAAAAAAGTGAGTCTAGGATGTCATAAATAACAATTAGATTGCACAACAATGGATGCTTAACAAACAGATATAGCTTTTTGAAGAAACTTTTATTAGGTGAGATGGCTTATAATATTCAGTGCATAAATTTCTATTACAAAGATCCACATATGAAAGAAAAGATGAAAAATGGGTACTTCCCAAAATATGGCAGCTGATATTAGTTATAAGCTGGCTGCTATTTTTCTCCCAAAACAAATATGAATTATCACTTTGTTTAGTTGATTCTATATCAATTGATATACTATTAAAGGGTTTGGATCACGCCCCCAGGCGTGATGAAACACAAGCCTCTTATTCATAGTGGAGGCTCCCACTTCTTAGTTCTTACCGGACTTGACTTTTTGATAGTGACTTATTCTCTGTATATAAGTATTGTGCCAATGGAGAATTTTCCAAAAAGGCTAGCACCTTCACTTCCTTTTAGAAAAAAGGAAACCTAGGCTTACTAATGAGGGTTGAAAATATTGAATGAGTGGTTATAAGCCAAGGATATACTAGTTATATACTACATTTAATAGTTCTGTTACATCTAAGGTAATAAATTTGTACAAACACAGAGACGAGGTTTTTGTATTAACTAGAATCACATGAAGAGGGTACTCTCTTCAGGAGTTTGAAAGTTGTTGCTCTATTTTATTTAATGACCTATTTTATATTAATGTTTTAACGAAGTAGTTTGAGTCATCTTTAAATAAATAGACCAATAAAATTAACCTTTATTTTGACATCTAACACTATCTCTTAGAAATTTTTTATTAGTTTTTTATTAGTTAAATAACAAGATTATACAAAAACAGTAGGCAACCGGACAATAAACTGCACCGCTAACTCTTTTTAGATGGCAAAATCAATTCTCTTAAAAACTATATTCATTGTCCTATGTGACACAACAATGTTATGTACGAACTTTTACACTCTCTATAAGAGATTCACTACATTTGGTGTTAGAAAACAAAAAAATGTCAAAGAAACTTGTTGATTTTTAGTTTATAATAATATATTTAAATATACAAAAAAACCTAATGGAGACTAATATACTTAAATTACTAAAATAATATTAATAAATTAATAATTAAAATAATGTAATGAAAAGCTGGACTGTCGTAGTTGTATTAGAGTTAAATACATGTTACACCCATATCTATCCCATATTGTCATATCCTCGATCTTCCTTTCGGATATACGTCTCTCCTATCATCTCAGAATATTATTATTAAATTAAATAATAAAACAAAACTAGTGGACCTACACTAGTCACCACTACTAGTCCCAAAGTGTAAGATTTTTGTTTTTTCGTTACAAAGCAAGAATTTTGATTTTGTGGATAACAAATTATGTCGGTTTATAATATTACAAAAACCCTTATTCACTTTTTTTAATAATATCCCTATATAATTAAATAATTTATCTAACTATTTAATTATTACTCTTTTCAACTACTCCAGCTAATATGCATATTTTTATCTTAATAACTAATCATTTAAAAAAAAAAGTTATTTAAAACGTTCATTGTGTTGAAGAAAGAAGTGGAGTTAGTTTCATATTACCCAGAGATATGATTTAACATTGTAAAAAAGAGTTATGCCCAACACAAATTTTAAGATAGTATCATAGTCTATTCTAGATTTGTTATTTGGCTTCTCGTATTGTTCACACGCTTCAGACTATTAAGCCCAAACATGAAGGAATGCCTTGGAATCTCCGTCTTTATTGAGGTCTACCACCCCCTAACTGCCTAATTGCGGCATTTTACTTTCCTTAGACACGTTCATTGTGCTTGGTTGGATTTGAAATATTTATTTGTCTCATATTAACTAGTTAGTAGGAGTACAATATTAATCAACTACATTTAACCACTCTCATATTAATTAAACAGAAACGTACTGACTGCATAACCTTAAATTATCAATAATAACTAATATTAATACCAATGTACCATTGATCTGATTTTTGTAATATATCAGTAATCTAATGGGCACAGTACACAATATAAAAGAGAAAAAACACAAATATGTACTCGAAAACTAATAAAAAGATATCCAAATTCCAAAATGTCTTGAAAATGATACTCATGAACTTACAACAACACAGAGTAATAGTATTTTGTATATGGTTTTCTTAAAATAAAAAAAAAAGGTATTTTCACTCTCACTATGTGTTCATGAGAGTATTTTCACTAGAAGATTGTAATAATGCATGATGAACAGAGATTAGATTATTATATGCTTCATAGATTCATGATTAGGTAAACATAAGAGTGATTAGGGGACTCACATCAAGCAGATTCTTGGTTTCATCTGCACTCAGTTGAAGCCTCACCATTCTAGAGCTTCGAGGCGAATCAGCATTCACGAAACTCAAATTCGAAAACCTAAACGCATTAAGCGAGTAACCAAGCACGTCCAATCCACGCGCCCAAAACGGTTTATTCATCTTCCCTTCCGGAATCAGATCCTCAATCGCAAGATTCACCTTATCAGCCTCCACATCTCCACCGTCACCTCCAGCAGCGACAAGCCTCAACAGTTCCTTAAGCAGCGCCACCGCCGCAGCCCTGTCGCAAGCCGACGTGTGAAGCCGAAGGAACAACGCGAACCGTTTGTCGCTAATCGCGTACGTGCTGGCGTACATGACGTCGGCGTCTCGGGATTGATTATCTCGCCACGTGTCGCGGTTCATCTCGTGTTCGAGTAGCGCGTGGAATGGGTCGAGGTCGGTGAGATCGTGGCCGTTGGTTTGTGAATTGAGGATTTGGGAGGTGGATTGGAGATCGAAGGGTTCGATTTGGACGCGGGGAGTTGGGGGAGTTACGAAGTGGAATGTGTTGGTGGTTGTGTCGAGGTGGATCTTTGAACGGAGGATAGGGTGGGAAATTTGGAGTTTGTGGAGGGCGTTTTGGAGGTGAGGGATTTGAGGAGGTTTAGAGAGAAGGAGGCTGAGGACGGTGGAGCCGGTGCCGCCGGGGACAGCTTTGCACCAGCCGTATTCGGTGCCTCCGACGGGTCGGGTTGTGGGCGTTGGTCGATCCGGATTATCATTTTTGTTTTCTTGGGCCATGGTGGATGAGAAGGAGAAGAGAGTGGAGTGTGTAATGTTGCAGAACGAGATACAGATGTGAGGAGAGTCATTAAGTAACTTGCATGCATAGAGAAAATAGAGAAAATCTTTATTATTACAAATAATTAATAAGGATAAAGAAAATATTTTATTTACTTAAATTTTAATTTTTTTTAAAGTTTATATTATAGGATGGTTGTGATTAGGAAGGAGAGAGAATATTATTATTAGTTTTTAATTAATAAAAAATATATAATTTATTATTTATAAAACCAATTATTATGTTTATGTGTACCTTAGTTTTTTCTGATGGAGCATTAGACTCTTCCTCCGGATCTCATTGAGGACACTTTTTAATTAGCAAACATGTCTATTAATATTGATACTTTTAATAAAAGGTGAAAATTATTGTCTACCATTAATGTAAAATGTCTCAATAATTATACTATTTAATAAATAATTTAATATGTTAAAATTAAATAAGATCTTGTGATTGGTTCAAGATATATTATTCAATTTTTTGTGATGGATAGAAAAGTTGTTTTTTTAATAAAAATTATTTTAAATTTTTAATACATTTTTAAATAAAATATAAAATTATTTTAAACTTTTAATACATTTTTAAATAAAATATATTAAATTATAGTTAGTCTCTCTATTTTGATCAATTCACAAAATTCGTCTTTCTATTTAGTTTTTAAATAATTTTGATCTTTAATGTTCATTTTTTTTATAAAAAAAACTTTAATGTGTCATTTTTATGTATACAGGACATATTTTTGAACAAGAGATAATATGTAGAGCATTTTTTTGTGAACGAAGAAGACGAATGAACAAGTCGAGAAAGAAAGAAGATGAAGAAGATGATCGGAGAAGACGACTGAAGGAATAAAATATTGTCAAAAAATACATTAAATAATTAATCATTCTTATGAAAAATCAATAAAAATATGTCACATATCTAAAAAATAGTCCACAATATCGTTTTATGGACCAAAAATAGATATAGAAATCAAAACTGTATAAAAATAAGTTTTAATGCCTAAATTGGTTTTTTAAGTTTATAAAAAGCTTCGCTTTGATCCTCTAACTACAAAAATGTTATATACTGATCTCTTAACTTCACTTCTGCTAAACTATTTGGTCATTTCCATTAGTTTCTATTGAAAAAAATGTTAAAAATTGCTTTGCTCGACGTTTTATAACTTACTATGTGGAATTTCTTTATTTTATATTAATTTAAAAATACTATCATTTTTATTTAAAATTAATTATTAAATAATATATTAGTTTGAAATAGAAACGTGTTCTCTTGTTCTTCTTCCTCGTCTTTTTCCTTACCCTTTCAAACTATCATTCGTCCATTCACCCAAAAATCAAATCTTTCTTTCAAATTTCAACCTTTAACAATGGCATCTCTATCAATAGCATCTCTCAATCTCTCACACAAACCACACCAATCCTCTTTTCTTCTTTCTTCTTCAAACCCTTCTTCACTTCTCACTTTAAACTTTCTAGAGTTCAAGAAGCCCAAATGAAAGATCTAGCAAATAAAGTTTCAGATCTAGGTTTTGCTTCAGATTTAACAAATAAAGCTTAAGTTTTTCTAGGTTTTGCATCAGATCTAGAAAATAAAGTTTAAGTTTTTCTAGGTTTTTCTAGTATCTCATATGCCCATTTCTTTGTTCAAACGGGGATAGAGCAAAATTAATGTTCTTAATTCCACACAATATTCTCCAGTTAGTATTATTTTTTGGTTGAAAAAATATGGCTTATTTCCATTTGTGTGATTTACTGGGTTATAGTTTGCACATATAATCTTCTTATACATGAATCAGTTATCACTCTGAATTAAATTCACGTCCATGTATGATTTTAATCTGTGTTTAGATTATCTTTTAAAGTGAATGGTAATTTGTGTTTAATTTGTGCTTTCTTATACATCAAAGTTAAAAGTCTTTGTTGTTGATTGAATTTTCTTAAATGCATTCTTGTGAATAGTGTAACTTAGGAAGTATTATTTTTCTCATGTTATTTTATTGGGTACTTAGAATTAAATTATGCTTTACTAATTTTGCGTCATTCTTATACATTATTTAGGATACTGCTGATGAGCTTGCTGATTGTTCTCATGGTAAGCGTTTATGGGAGCTACGCCAACAAAAATACGAGCATTTATGACTTAAAGATGAAAGTCACTGTAATTTGGAGCACTTTAATTTAGAGAAGTGTGGATAGGGTTGAACAATCCAGAGAAATTACTCATTGCTTGGAAATCTTTTATCAATTTTTTTACACATTATTAACATTTTGTGAGGGTTTTTAATCCCCAAAAATAAAACATCTCCAGTTTATAAAAGCTATTTTTTAATACATAGTGCATATTTGTCATGCTTCCTCAGCCAAACTTAACGTTTTTTTCACCCAATCTAATGGAAGAAATCAAAATATGTAATGAAATGATAGTTAAGGAATCAATATGTAACATTTTTTAGTTAGGAGATTAAAGCAAAACTCCACATAAAGTTAAGGACCTAGGGACTAATTATGCCAAAAAATAAATAAATGGACTGATTTCGTGAGTTGGCCTAAATAGGGGGACAAAAACTGTAATTTAGTCAAAAAATAAAAAATTAAATAATATTATTTTATTAGATAATAATATCTATCCAATTAAATTCAAAAGATATTGAAATGCTCACCTATTTAAAATTGGAAATTTCTTTTCGCACACTGTTACCTTCTCATAGGTCTATGGTAAAATGTTAAAAATGTCTTTTATTTTCGGAGATACATCTCCTAACACACCATTTCTTCATATTACCTAAGGTTAATTCGGGGATGTATTTGCGAAGGTGTTTTAGAGTATGTTCGTAGATACATCTCCAAATTAACCTTTTTTTTTTAAATTCAAAAAATTCTTTCAGAGATACATCTTCGAACGAGGTAAATGTATTTAAACCTCGCGTCAAACTCTCCCTCTTCTCCTTCTTCATTTTCAGAACTTATTTTCTTCCCCTATTAGAGCTCGTGAGTGTTTACTGTGAATTTTGGTAAACAACTGCTAGTCTTCCAAACAATGATTTTTGGTTACTTACATGATCGACTAGAATGATCATAGGACTCGTGTGTATGAATTTCTTAGTTTTCTTTGACAATAAAGGTTTCGACACTAACTTGAAATTTTAAAGTAATGCGATAGCAATTTATAAAACACAAAGGAATGTAAAATCACTTTGATTTAAAAGTGAAATGTAGGAAAATAACATTAATGTAAAGAAATGGATATGAAACGAAAAACGTATGGATATTCATATGTATGTGTGACTCAAAAACTCTTTCTCAACACACTTAAATACTTTGAGTGATTTTGAGTTTTGGTACAAATTGAACACACTAAATCCTGATCCTAAGACTCATATTTATACTAAACTAAAATAATTGTCTTCAAACGGTCTCTTCTTCAGGTATCAACACGTTTGTCATTGTTAGCGGGAAATTTCGACGACTTAAAATATTAAGGGAGAAATGAAGAATGTCGAAGGAAAGTAAACTCTAAGAGGAATATGAGAAAAATCCATGAAGGTTTTCGACTGACAAGCTTATGGGTAGTTTTATCTTGTTAATTGGTAGCGAAAGTCTTGTTTTATGGATAAGTGAGACTTAAGAAATTTCAAATTTCGAATTTGAATACTTCGACAGAAGTCACGTTGTTGGTTTGACGCCTTGAACTAAAGAAGAGTTTCGAATTCAAATGGTTTGATCTTATCTGAAAGGATGCGTGGAAGTCTGAAGATTCGAAGGACATGCAAACATCGAACGTGGCATTCTCTTAGAGAAAGACCGTTATGGTCGAATTAGTATAAATTAGGATCTTTGTGTTAGGATTTAGTGTGTTTATTTTTGTACAAATCACTCAAATAAACTCGAAGTACCAAGTGTTAGAGAAAAGAGTTACTGAGAATGTACATGTGAAACACTAGTTTTTCATTCAACGTTATTTATTTTTAGATAAAGTCTTCTACGTTTCATTTTAAGTTTAAGTCAAAGTTCACTTACATTTCAGTATTTATCTTAAAGCCTTTTTATGCTTATCCTAAAACTTTGGTTTTATTTTTACTTTCTTGTTATTACTTCATATAGTTTTACAATTACTCATCAATTAACCATCACATTCGAAAAGATGAACAATTCAACAACCATAAATCACCAAAATTAGATACATGTCCTAGGACCAATCTAGTCGATCATGTGAGTAACCAAAATGCATTTGTTTTGAAAGACTAGCAGTTGTTTACCAAATTTCAGAGTAAAAAATTGGCACACTCGGTGGCACCATTGTCTAAGTTTGTGTCAAAAAATTGTTGTGTGGTATTTTCTTTTGTTTTAGTCTGTTTTGTTTGACATTGTTGTATGAGATTAAGGAGTGGAAAATTATCCAAAACTAAAGAACCTATACCAAAGAGGAAATGCACTAGGAAGATGGTTAATCCACCCAATAACAATGGAGAATAACTACCCCCTTCGACAGGGGGAAAGTACAATTGTGTTATCTGCAATCAAATTGATACCTATTCAAGCAAGTACAACAGGAATTTTGACAAATGCTTTTAGCGGTCCATTTCTGTCCCTAGTGCATACACAGGGTCCCCCAGGGACCTCAAGACCACTAGGGGCAAACAATTTCAGATATTTTGCGTCTGGACTCACAATTTCAATAGATGGCCGCGAACAAATTTATGGTATACCAACAACAGTGATGGCAAGTCTGAGCAATAGTACATAAATGTTCCCTGATCTAAGAATGTCTACTTTTTCACCACTACAAGGATCAGGATCAGGAAATAATTACATGGGTCAAAATTTCCCACCCCCAGGATTCACTGCCCAATTACCTATTGTTATACGGTGGGAAAATTGACTAGGTTTTGCATTTTATTGCAAATGCGCAGATAGAAAGAGTCGCCACCGACTTTTCTTTTATCCAATAAGGAAAGGGT